TTCAGAGAGGACAGTGAAAAACCAGTAAGTTCAAGTGGAAAATCCTCCTCTTCTCTTACCCCCCCGCTCTCTCCTTCCCTTCTTCTCCCCTCATCCCCCCTTCCCTCCATCTAACGCCCCAGTGCTTCAGAATAAAAATGACAACACATTTCCAGAAACACACACACACACAGACACACACACTCGGGGCATTTCATTGGGAAGTGTGAGAGGCCGTTATCGACCATATTTCATTACTGATTTCACTCATGTTTCAAATCACAAAATAAGAGTTTCACACTTCAGTGGCCAGACCCAAACCTCTCCTTTCCATCCTTCCCCTCTGTCTGTCCACCCCTCTGCCCAGAGCCAAACCCATTCCACTGGCTGCTCAACCTCCTCCCGTACACCCTTCACAAACTGTCAAGACCCCATACTACCCCCCACACACACACACACACACACACACACTAACCTACACACACGTGCATGTACACTCAGCCCCAATTCCCTCCACATCAAATAAGAGAAACTGCCAACTAAGCACTTTCATTGAGTGGACAAAAGGAGTGCTTTGGGAAAAACACTTTGAAAGGAAATAAAAGAAAACGAGAGAAGGAACCGCTTCAGTACCGCAGACTCTGGGGGACTAAACACTCATCTTTCCACATACTTTTGTTGATTAGTTAAAAGACTTTGAACCCCGCCTCAGAATCCTTATGTTTAGTCGTTTTTCACAAATCTGTAGTGGCTCAAATAAGGCAGCTGGGGAAGGTCAGAAAACAATTTAGCAACATATAGAAAACTGCTGAATTAGGGTTGTAATATGGATTAAAAGTATTTTCATTGAAATGAAATCTCTGCTTTAAGACTGACATGACTCAGTTTCTTCCTCTCGTCTTTCTGGTGGCTCCCTCTCTTTCTCCATCCCACTGTGCTGGTGCCAGCCCTCTCCAGAGAGCAGAGAGGCAAGCTAATTAACATATCTCTAATGAGTCTTTTCATTTTTTTCCTAATTAAACGAGCTCCTCAATAATACATGAAAACAGGACACCGCGCTATTCAATTACATACGAATGGGCCACAGCCAAACACGTGCGTTAATCTGTATGTGTGCATGCCAAGTGCCAGTGTGTTAAGTGTGCCAGGCGTGTGTCTGCCAAGTGGGTGTATATGTGTCTGCCTGTGCCCACCCAGTGTATGAGCGTGCGCCAAGTGTGTCCATTGTAGAGAACGTGTGGAAGGTCATGGAGGCATGCTACGTATCATGCTGGGTAATCCGCCAATTGCCACTCTGTCTGCCAACTGTGTGCCCACCAATTCACTCAGTCACACGTGTGCCACTACCAATTAAGGTAACTGTGGCCAATTATGTCCAACACCTACTACAAACACACACCTAGTGTGAAATTATCTAAATACTGCAGAGGGTTAGGATATCTTTCAAGTGTAATCTCTTACAAAGAAATTGCATTTTCACTTATTCGGGAAAGACTGACTGAGCTTTCATGCTTATTTTCCACAATGCCCACAACTAATTCACACCTAGGAGCTGAACAGTTGCTGAATAAGACCATAACTTATAGTAGTTACTACTTCCAACTTTCTAAGGCAGAACATGATTCAAACCTGTCTAGTTATGCATTATTTTGCATGTCTAACCTTTTTACCAATCCCCAGTTAGTTTTTAATACGCAAAAATGTCTTAAGGAAACAACCTTAAAAATGTAGTTAATATATTAGACATAATACTATAGTTTTAAGTATAAGTATATTTATAGTATAAGCATAACATTACATTTGTAACATATCCATTAAAAATGGCAATTTTCTACTATTTCGAGTAGAAAATTCTACTACTATTATTTTGTCATTTTAAGTGTTATCATTATCTACTAACATTATTAAGTATTATTTCAATCTGTGCAAAATTTGTTTCTAACATCAAATTAAAACGCCTCTTAAATCTTGAATCATCAAACTCCCAAATAATCAGTCACACTGTTCTGATTATTGTCCTTTTCAGCAACTGTAGCTGCAATTTTGTTGCACACAATCAATTTTTCCTGCAATTGCCTGTCTAGAGACTTGAGCTATTGTCGAGTTTCTCCTGAATGTGACACTTGACAGTGACACACACACACACACACACACACACACACACACACACACACACACACACACACACACACACACACACACACACACTTTGGACTGATACCATCACACACAGCCAGCCAAACACAGACCATCTCTGAACAACCAATCAAAAAGCAGATATAATCTCTGAGTTTCTTTTGCTCTCAGCTCAGATCCTCCCTTCTATTATAAATAAAGAAAGGAAGAGAAATATGATGGGGAACGGGTGGGGGGTAGGAGGAGGGGGCATGTCAGCGTAGACCAAGGCTTCTCCAGAGAAGTCAAGACACGAATAGAAGTCTTCCTGCTCTCTCTCCCTGTCTCCCTCCGTCGTTCTCCCTCAGAGAGAAGGGAAAAATCTAATTATCGAGCTCCTAAAGATCTCATTATTGGCTGGGGCTCATTTGCATGTGTGAGAGCAGCCCAGCAGGAACCAACCTGAGGACGGCCATTTTGTGCCTGATGTGAGCCACTGTGTCACTGTACAGTTGCTTTCTGCCACCTTTAGAAATGACCAGACTAAATGTCTGACTTCACTCACTCACATCGCTCAGTCACTCTCTGTGGCCCCGACAGATGATTGCTTCAATTACAGCAACTGAATGCAGTCGCTGCAAGTTAGAACTCATCATAATGCTGGTAATTAAAGTAATCAAGAGAGTTCTACACATCACCTTAGTAGTCAGTTTGTTGTGCGGTCTAGTAAACAACTTCAGTGCTGCTGCTACACAGAAGTACACAAACAACACTTGCTGTGCTTTGATGTTTGTGCCTGTGTTTCTGACTGTGAGGATTAAAGTAGAAACAGACACATACACACACACACACACACACAAATGTAAATCCAAGTGTGTGTGAGTTGGCAGGGTGTGTGGGGCCATGTGAGCTGACAGCTCAGACAACAGAGATGTAGCGTGGATGCCCTGGAGAGTACAGAGAGGCTAGCCAGGCCAGGCACCAACAAACAAGACAAACAAGACAGAGATGGGGGGGGGGTTGGCATGTGTGAGTGTGTTCAAGGCAGAGAGAGAGGGAAGGCAGGGAAAGGTAATACTCCTTTCATATAGGAGCTGTGAGTGTGATGCAGGTGAGCTGAACGTGTATTCAACCTGCATTTGACCCCATTCATGTGAAAATGCTGTCCTAGGTTAATCCCTTGTCAGCGTTCGCAGAGACTCGATTGCAGTTCCTTACACCTCATTGCTGAACAACAGATTTACATCACATGTTAACTTTCAGTTTCACTTCCCTCTACTAGCACACTTTTTCTTATTTCCCCACTATCTACTTCTTCATCTCTTTTTTTAAGATGAGTGCGTCTTTAAATGTTAAAAGTTTAAACGTGTGTTGCTCTGAAACAGGTGTATGAGGGCAAGTCAGAGACAGAGGAGACTGTACTATGGAGTCAGAGTTTGAGTGTACGGCTGAATTACTGCAACACATATATTAATATCAATTCAGGGCACACGTACGCCATTTTGTGTTGATTTACATTATAGATGCAATTTCAGTGCTTAGAATATTTGATCAATGCAGATCCGATATAAAATAGCATTTATTTTATTCACTTACCCCTTAAAAGTCACAATGTAATTTCTCCAACTGCCAGTTTCTATCCAAAGCAAATAACGTGATTCTGATTCCAATTTGGGTTTTGATTAAAGTGTAATCCGCAAGATCCCTTTTTTAAAATGTTATTTCATTTTTGACATCTTTGGGTAATAAACAGTCATTAATTCTGTGCCATTTTCGCACTTCCCAGAGTAAGCGCAACAGTAAGAGCAATTAAACTGTATGGCTGAAATCTTTTTCTTCTGTCTATTGGTGACGTTTGTGTTCTATGTGATTTTTTCTTTGTTCATGTGCTCTGTCATGGAGGCAACTACTGCTCATAAGACTCAGCTCTTCCTTTGTCCATTCCAAACAAACCCCCTCGCCGCTGCTGAAACTATAAAAAGTTTCCTGGAAAAACATGACCCAATATTATGTGTCATTTATGTGTAAATGTTGTCACCCTAAAACAAAATTGTAAATAATTGCTCTTTATCTAGATGCCTGCACAGTATTATCACCTTTAAGAAAAGTTTCCCATTTTTCCCATGAGCACCTTGCTGAGTTCAGACACTGCAAATGAAATCTGACCTTATCCTTTCTTCTGACTCACATATCTCTCTTCCATCTCTTTCTTCATTTCCCATACTGTGATGGCCCAGCTGTCTGTTTATCATGTGGCACGTTAATGAGAAGAGCAGTGCAATAGCCAGGCTGCTTGCTGCTCTAGTAGACCCATGGCCCCACTTTATTGATATGAGACATAGCTACAAATCACACTTCTACATGTACTCCGCACATCAAAAAAAACGCCAGTAATGATGTGTGATATTTATCAACATGTGCTGATAGTAATAATGTGTGTCTGCTGGCTGTGTGTGTGTCCTCCTTGAGAGTCTTTCAGTGGGGATCCTGCACTCCAGCTAACCCCACTCTCTCTGCTTACTGTGGAATTCAACTCTGAAAACAGCTCAGTACCCCAATCACTACAAAGACCTCATTCACACACACACACACACACACACACACACACACACACACACACACACACACACACACACTAACAATCACACACACTAACAATCACACACACATGCACTCGCAGAAAGAGAGAGAGAAAAGTATGTGCCTATATCACACTGTGTAGTTGACGTGGCAGGTTGATGAAGGCGAAGCTGCAGCAGCCAGGCGCTTAATATTATACAGATTCTGACAAAGCAGCACTTGGGTTGTGCCTCTGTGAGTGTGTGTGTGTGTGTGTGTGTGTGTGTGTGTGTGTGTGTGTGTGTGTGTGTGTGTGTGTGTGTGTGTGAGAGATTGTGTGCTCTGACCTGCACAGGGCTCTGTTTGACCTCGTTGCTGCCAGGGGAGTTGAGTCCAGAGGCCTGCTGGAGGAGGAACTGTCTGGCTGCCTGAAGCGCCTACGAGGGAAAAATAGAGATGATCAGATGTTCATCATGCATACACAGTCATACAGTGAAATGTTGCAATGCAGTATGAAACAACAACACACAAAATAAATACACCTTTCAACGTCACACCTCGCTTCAGAATTTAAAGAAAAACCGTGTGGGTAGGTTCAGTGTCAAACACCACACACCGATACATTCAAACAGTTTCAATTTAGACACAAGAAAAGCACAGATATACTCAGTCTCACTCTCAGTACCCTATCCCTTTGCCAAGCTGTCAGGTCTGATTTCCTCAACCTAAGAAGTCCACCTGGCACACATACAGCATGGTTAAATGTGTATACCTAGGTTTATGTGTGTGTCTACGTGACTGAATTCATCTCAACTCATTCAAAACTTTCTCTCTCTTTCCAATCTTTGTATTTCTCTGCCCTCCCCTCTGTTTCAGTCTCTCTTCCACACCCCTTTCCTCCTGCTCTTCCTCCCCCTCTCTTTTCTGAGGAAGGTGCAAAGTGGGTTTTCCACATCCTCTGAGGCAGAAGTGTGTCAGCATATCTTCATGTGTGTCAGTTGCACTGTGTTTGTGTGTGTCAGAGTGATGTAAGGAACCGTTTGCCCTGCTGGGCCCTGGAGAGCTGTGACTAACCACCACCCACCTCTTCATTCCTCCTCCTCTTCCCATTTCTCCCCTTTCTGCCCTCTGGTGTTGTCCATTCAAACCAGTGATACCACCGCTCTCTAGCTCTCTGTCTTCACTTCTTCACTCTGCTCGTGAGTGTTGCCAATTCATCCTTCCGACACCACAACATCAGCCATTCCTCCCACTGTTTCCCCTATTACTGTCTGCCTTGTGTATTAAAAACTGTATAAATGTCTTTCTTTGTGTCATTACATTTCTCTCTTTTCTTTGCTGCGTTGCCTGTTGTAGTGTTAAAGACTCAGGCTCTCCATCATCAAGACAAATCAGCCCCTGAGGGACAGGCATTTTTGCTGGAATGTCTGAACTGCTCCTAAAACAAAACAAGAAAACACCCATCTCAAAACACAAGAGCCGCCTTGCACTTACTGTAAGCGCAGTCACACAAACACACACACACACACACACACACACACACACACACACACACACACACACACAAGCACAACCTCATGACAGAGGGTTAGAGAGGGGAGACAGCAGGATGCACATTTGCTTCCTCTGACTCAAAGGGGAAAGGTTCCTTAGTAAATATTGATTTATGAAAGTCTGTGTGTGTGTGTGTTTGCGCGTGATGTGTGTGTGTGTGTGTGTGTGTGTGTGTGTGTGTGTGTGTGTGTGTGTGTGTGTGTGGACACCACAAATTAACGGCCAGAAAGAGGGATGTTCTTTACCATGGAAGCTCTTACTCAACCATGCGGCACCAGAAATCTGTTCTACTGCATCATTTCACAACTACAGAAAATTGTGAAGCTGTGAAACAGTGCAGCATACACTTACTGTATATTGTCACATATTTAATGAATTGTCAAATTAGAAGCTCTGGTATATTAAGTAATGTCTAATTACAAAAACAGAGTGTGGAGATTAGAGGGAGACAGAAAGAGAGAGTTCTCTGTGCAGTCGGACTGATGAAAACCATCTGTATCAAGCACACTTGCTACTTTTGCTGAGACCGCAATTAAAACACACACACACACACACACACACACACACACACACACACACACACACACACACACACACACACACACACACTTTGGCTTTAGACGTGCCTACACACACACATACATTTTAACACTTGAACAAAAATCTTGGGAACCCCCTCCCATTTACTGGTTTGACCTCAGCATTAAAGCAGGCACAGACATACACACACATACAAAAAAAAACCCTAAAAAAACACAACCGCCCAGTTTGTTGGCATGTGGTGTGAATTACTCCTTGAACACCCTGTCTGCCCGAGAGTGAGTGTGTGTGTTTGTCTGTGTGTGCGAATGCGTGTGTGTTGGCAGGAGTTGGGGAGGCATGTCTGGCAACAATAAGGGACAATTCCACCCAAATTACCACCCTGATTACCACTATATTAAAGAGCCATTTATGGCTTTCATAAACGCTACAACCAAGCAGAGGTGATGCCTGTCTCCTCTCCGATGCCTGTATTCCTGGATGTGGGTGTATGTGAGAGACAAGAACTACTAACAAAGCATGTGATTCTCTGGATATTTAAACTAAGTCTGTCCTCTTCCAAGGTTTATTCAAGTGTGCTACAGTTGAAATTAGATAGTGTAAGGCTAAAGCTATTTTAAAATGTACGTTTACACCATAACCTCCAGAAAAAAAACGATTAATTGTTGGCTGGTGACCGTTAACATCGCAATTCAGAGTATTCTGAATGTGTATCTTTCATAAGTTGAAAGTATATAGAACATTACTTAAAGTTATTTCTAAAAGTTATGTTCAATGCATTAAATTGTGTTTAACTGTTATGTATTACATCATATTACATGGAAAAATTAATTTAACCACAAAATGTTATAAAAGTATAACATATGATTCTAATTAAAGTCCATATGTGACAATATTGAATTATTGCCAAGCAATAAGACTTAGTCACTATTTGTAATTAGTGCGTATAGCATACTAAATTTTGCAGGTAACCATAGCAACAGTGCTTCTATTTTACTTTACAATATCAGTTAACTTAGCGGTGAAACTAACTTAAACAGACTACAAGCAAACGTTAAAAAGTGGGTGGCCATTATAGCAATATAATACACTAAGAAGAGTTCCATTAGATAATGGACTCAGCTAAGGAAGTCTTCAGCTTCACCATATGCTTTATTTTCTTCCTTTAGGACTTTTTTTTCACTTGTAAACCTGACATTGTTTATTACATTTTTATCTGTTCTATTTGTCTCATATGTGTTATGTATTAATGAACCCATATTAAATTGTCTACAAGATATTGAAGTAATGTTAGCTCACTGCTCCAAATTTTAATCCACCTATTTTTTGGATGAATAAATTAAACCTTGAACTTTCAACATAACAAGAAAGAAGTGAGAAGGAGGACCACAGGTTTGGTGCAGACAGACAGACAGACAGACAGACAGACAGACACACACACACACACACACACACACACACACACAGAGAGAGAGAGAGAGAGAGAGAGAGAGAGAGAGAGCCAAACTCTCTTATATCTACATTGTCAAGAAGCACTCCTCTTTTTGACCCTTCTCTTTCATTTCTCCTCTTCACACTCACTCCTTGCCATTTTCTCTCTGTGACCTGGGTGAGCTGTAGCATTGTAAAGCATGTCCCCCCTCCTCCTCTACCCACCCACACACCAACTCCTCGTAGACTCCCCCAACCCCAGCTCCCCGCTCCCCCTGTGGCATTCTTGGGGGCGCACTGCACCTTTAAAGAAAATATGAGGGAGGCCTAAGAGGGAGGCCCAACAACAGAGTCTTTGTGCTGCCGCGGAGCACACACACACACAAACATGCACACACACATATACACACTTCAGTGGTGTCAGACAGGTTTTATTAGAGTGAGAGAGGGAGGGAGGAGGAGGAGGAGGAAGGAGGGGTGAGGAGGTCACTGCTCAGCTTGGAGGCCTGAGAGCACAGTGTGAGTGTGTGAGTGTGTGTGTGTCAGTTCAGTGTGTGAGTTCTTCTGACTTGTCATCGCTCCCCTCTGTAAATCATCGCCTCTGACACAGCCTTTAATAACAGTGCATTTTTTAATTCAGCAGGGTCACACACACACATGCACGCCACCCCCCACCACACACACCACGCGCGCACATACACACACACACACACAGAGTAAAGGGTACTTTCTCTCTTTAACAGGATTCCGAAAAATGGCTGACAACTATGTTTCTTTGAAAGGAGGAAGGGTTGATGAGGCAGTTAGAAGATCCATTAGACGAAAAGGATAGAAATATCATTTTGCTACGTGTGTATGATGATCTTGCAGCGTGTGTGTGTGCCTGTGTGCACATGCACATATACTAGATTATACTCCACCTACCATGGATGAGATGTCAAGTTATGAACTGAATCTTAGATAAGAACAAAAAAGTAACAATCATCAGGTTGCAAGGCCAGGCCTCCCTAGTTAGATTTGTGTGTTGTGTGTGTGTGTGTGTGTGTGTGTGTGTGTGTGTGTGTGTGTGTGTGTGTGTGCGCGCATGTGCCTGGCTCAGGTTGCTAAAGCAAACAGGTCTGTGTGTGTGATGAATCTGGCCTCTAATCCGCCCAGTGTGTTTGGGTGAGACAGGGAGAGAGAACGCAGGAATAAGCAAAGTAATCTAAACAGAGAGACCTAGCAAAGGAGAAGGGGGAGGCAGGGAGAGAGAGGAGAGAGAGAGAGAGAGACAGGTGGGTACCATATGTTGGAGTAGTCCGTCAGCACAGACTGAGGTCCATTGTTGACGGCCAAAACGAAACAAACCGGTCCCCCTCTCCTCCTCATCTCCCCCCGTAGATAAACAGCCCCCGGGGCAGACAGTGGGCTGTCCTTGAGGGAGGAGGAGGAGGAGGCGGGAGGGGAGTTAGGAAGGGCAAGGGGGAGGCAGGTGGTATCAGATTTCTTTGCTCTTATACCAGGAAAAGTGAGTACAAAAAAAAAGTACAAGTGTGGGTGAGAAGCTCATTGTTTCATCTGTCCACGACACAACTAAACTAGGCTAGTTTCGGATGTTTCAGCAGTGTCAGACGTAACAGATCTCTCCAGCTCCAAACAAGTATCCCCTCTCCGCCTTACTAGCTCAGCAGCATGGGAAGAGAGGCTTGTGATGCACCGTTCCTCCATTCCTAAACCCTTTTCTTCCCCAGGAGAGAGCAAGAGATGGCGAGATGGGTAGATAGATACAGGGTGAAGACGTAGAAAAGAGCTCGTCACACCCAGCTGCTTCTCTGCAGGCCTGCACGCTTTCTGATTTTGGATCAGTAAGAGAGACCGGGTTCAGAAGAGGAGCGTAGATCTTCTTTTTCCACACCTACTTCCCTCTTTCTCT